AAAGATTTTATTTATTTATTTGAGAGAGAGAATGAGAGACAGAGAGCACGAGAGGGAGGAGGGTCAGAGGGAAAAGCAGACCCCCTGCTGAGCAGGGAGCCTGATGTGGGACTCGATCCCGGGACTCCAGGATCATGACCTGAGCCGAAGGCAGTCGCTTAACCGACTGAGCCACCCAGGCGCCCCAAGAAAGGATTTTTAAGAGTAATTTTTCTCGGAGGTTAGCATTCATCTCTAGGTCATCTGTAGGACCATCCCTGAATCACCTTTTTGAAGTGGAAGGCTAGACTACATGCAACACATTTAGGAAATACTAAGTACTAAGTTTAACTGCATTAAGTAGATGCCTTTATTGCATGACTTCTCAGAGCCTGCAATATGCTGATGTAAATTGTAATCACTCAGAAAAAATATTATATGTAGCACTCACCAACCTTGGTGATAGTGAACTGTTTTTTGTATTTTTATTTATTTTTAATTTTTTATTTACTTTTTTTAAAGATTATTTATTTGAGAGAGAGAGAGAGAGAGCACAAGCAGCGGGGAGGGTCAGAGGAAGAGGGAGAAGCAGACTCCCCGCTGAGCAGGGAGCCCGATGCGGGGCTCGATCCCAGGACGCAAAGGCAGAGGCTTAATGACTGAGCCACCCAGGTGCCCCATGAACTATTTTTTTTTTTAACGGTGCTCCCTAAACGTGGCTCACAACATTGAGGTTAAAAAAACAACTCAAAGCTGATATTCCACTGACTGTACGAATTGTTTCTTTGCATAACCTGAAGTAAATCTAAGTGTGCTTATCATTGTTTTAGCTATGACCAAGAAATGCCGTGTCCCGTGCCACCAGCAAGGATGTATTTGCAACAGGATGAACTAGAAGAGGAGGAAGATGAGCGAGGCCCCACTCCCCCTGTGCGGGGAGCAGCTTCTTCTCCAGCTGCGGTGTCTTATAGCCATCAGTCCACTGCCACTCTGACCCCCTCCCCACAAGAAGAACTCCAGCCCATGTTGCAGGACTGCCCGGAGGAGACTGGCCACATGCAGCACCAACCCGATAGGAGGTACACTGTCACTAGCCTTTTGCTGACAAATCAGATAATTTCCACTCTTAAGTGGCATTTGTAGAATGCTATTATATGAGCTCATTTTCCTGTCTAGCCTTTTTTCCAGGATCATCATGCAGTAAGCCTCGGTAATTAACATATCAAGTAATATTGTTGACCAGAACATGAGATTAATTGATCCCAGTGAACTTGCAACCATAAAATAATGTGCATTAATACTCACCCATTATGATAATTGCATTCATAAACACATGGAGATCATGTAGTAAATATATGCATTGCTACTCTTGTAGCAATTTATTGGTGATGCCTGTTTTTGCATCTTAGTTTTCAATAGGCGTGGGTAAGTCATTGCTTTGGTCTGTGGAAAGTAGATTTTCTCCTATCTTTTGAATTGAAGTCTGAATGATTTCTTGCCTCATAGCTGTACTGTTGCAGAAGAATGAACTTGGCGTATTTATTTCGCTTTGACTTCAGGTACCTTTATTTTAGGTCAGAGTCCTTTTGTCCAATTTACTAAATAATGTGTGTGTGTGTGCGCGTGTGTGTAACCAAAAATTCAGCATTGCCAACCAATACGTTTTTGTTAGACACAAATAAATACTTCCCTTGTCATTTCTACCACATCAAAGCTGTTACTGCATCAAGTTAACTCCTGTCTCATTGTTGATGATTTGGTTTGTACTATTTCATTACCCTTGACACATTATATTTCACACATGTAAATTTATATATATACAAAACTTTCTATGTTCCTAATATAATTTGAAACTGAGTATGTTATTTGCCTCTGAAAATTGTCCTTCAATTTTCTTGAATGAATAACATATTTTCATTTATACTGCTTGAATTCTGTAGATTAAAATAGAACTTACAATGTTTATTAATTATTCTATCCATAAGAGGTTCTTACCAAATTCAAATCATATACTCTCTAAAATGAAGGCGGTCATTAAGGCTTCCTCCGTGGGACAAGGGGGAATTTGGATTGCCATCCATTTATCTTTAATAGTGTTAACCCATGAAACTTCATGGAGATTGAGAACGAATAAAGCACCTATCTCTTTTCCCTATTAAGGTCACAGACCATCTCCATCACTCTTATTTGAAGCAAATGAGGGGCTAATAGAGGTTCTTACCTCTGAAATATGTCAGCATTCTCCTTTCATTCTCTCACGTTACCTATTTCCCCACCATTCCCCTCTGTGTTATAAGTGGTACGTAATATCTTCTTCCTGGCAAACCCCTTCTGTGTTCCTCTTGTCATCCTTTCCACCTTCTTCAAATCAGTCAAAATCAGTTCACCTTTATCTATCCTGACTTACCTGCCTCTTCCTCTTTATTCAGTTGTTCTTTCTCTTCACCGTTAATCCTACTTTTGTTAAATGTTCCCCTGTCTTAGCCTTTCATTCTAGTTATCATGCTCTCCTTCTCCTCTACTCCTTAGGGCTGTTTAATCAACTCTGCCTTACCAATTCCCATTCACACCTTAGCCCACTGCATTCTGACTCATACCATTCTGCTTCCATTAGTCTACTGAAAGTAACTTCCAAATGGTCAATCTAAAGACTTGTCCGTCTTTATCATACCTAAGCTTTCTTCAGTGTTGGCAATTTTGTAAGTTGTTGTGGGAATCACATGAGATAATGTATGTAAAGTATCCGAAGCAGGGTAAATATTCAACAAATATGAGTTTCCTACTGTCCTCCCCTTTATGCCATCACTCCATTGCTTGGTTCAATAATTACTTGTATTCTGATGGCTTAAATAAATAAAATTTATTTAGTCATCCCACCCTTTTTCCTGAGCACCACAATGATATTTTCACTTGGCCATCTCACACTACACTTGTCCAAAACCAAATTCTTTGTCTTTGCACTTGACCGTTCAGACTTGTTTCATTTCCTCCTTTGTTGGCTATCGTGTATAGAATCATTAATCCTTATTTATTTGAATAACGTATTAAAAATAAAATAGCCAGGGCACCTGTGTGGCTCAGTTGGTTAAGCATTTGACTTCAGCTCAGGGCATGATCTCAGGGTTCTGAGATCGAGCCCCAAGTCAGGCTCCCCACTCAGCAAGGAACCTGTTTCTCCCTTTCCCTCTGCCTCTCTCCATGCTCGTGCTTGCTCTCTTTCGCTCTCTCTCTCTCTTTCTCAAATGAATTAATAAAATCTTAAAATATATATATAATAAAATAAAATAGCCAAAAATCATTTAAAAAACTGTCATTTTGCCATCAGCTTAATTTTCCTGTTGCTTAATTTCTTCTGCTACCTTCCTACCATTCCCCAAATTAAATTATTCACAATCCCTTCATTTCTGACTTTAAAATATCTTTTGTTTTTGTTCCTTTGTTTCCATCCCTATATATACCTGCTAAGGCATATCCCTATCCCTATATTCTGCCCTATCCTTGAACTGATCTCCACTTTTCTTCTATTTCCCCTTTCCTGCCCACCCTCCACATTATCTTTCTGGACACAAAAGCCTGGGAATGTTCCCCCTCATTCAGAGTCAGGTCCTGCTCTTCAGCCCAGTGGTCAAAGCCTTTCATGGTCCTTCCTGCTTTATGTACCTCTTCCCTCCCATTCTCTCCACACACCTTCTTTTCTAATTACTTTGTTTGAAATTCCCTGACTTTTGCCTTAAATTCACCAACATCTGGTCAGCGCTGCCGCTTCCTGACCCAGAGAGGGTTGCTCTGGAGCTGACATGTGGGGGGGGGGCACTTTTGGCTTTCATGGCCATACCCCACATGTTTAGTGTCCTCACTGGGCACCCATGTGTTAGCACATGCTGTTTCTTTGATTTCGGGGCCAGGTGCATCTCATCCTTCCAGGCCCTGTTAAAATGCATCCCCTCTGTGAAACTCTCATTTGATTGCCTGGCAAAATTCAATCAATTCTTTTCTTTTCTCTTCGCAACGGTCTGTTCACAGCTCCGCTACTCCGCTAATCAGTTTTCCTGTTGCATTAGTGTTTGCTCTCAGTATGTCTGTTTCCCTCTTTAAAGTGAAAGCTCTTTGAGGGCAGAGCTCACATTTTACTCATGTCATTGAGGTGGCACAAAGCTTACCTCCGTAAGTATTTGATGAAAGGAATTGGAACTTCCGTGAACTCAGAATGAAAATGAATGCAAATGCTTTGGCTACCTGCACTTAAAATCCTGTTTAATTATATACAGCCTTTTTGAAATAATGATTTTCAGTCCATGAAGGTACTAGGAATTTAATTTCCAGGATTGTTGCTGGAAATAACACTGGACGCTAACAAGAAGTAAATGAAGTCCATTAAGCAACAACAACAATAAAATATTAGTATTGTTCTTTTATGATGAAGGTATTTTCTACATGTTTACTGTAGAAATATTTGAAAATACAGATAAACGAAATGAAAATACAAAAGTACCAATGATCCACGTAGTCAGAAATAGTCACTGTTAAGGCCCCAGTAAAGATCTTTTCAGTCTTTCACCTCTGCATATACTCACATTGCTTTGAATTTGTGATATGCCAGTATGGGATAATTGCTCTTTTCACTGAATGTTGTGGTTTTCCATGTCAGTAACTTTTTATTTAGATATTCATGTTAAACAAAAGTATACTGTGATGTACTTAAACAATTCCTTAATGTTGGACATTTAAGTTATGTCGACGTTTTTGATACTATATACAATGCTATAATTCTCATTTCCAGTTAAGTCTTTGAGTGAAGCCTCTTCTCAGACCCTTGACCTATTTGGATGCCTGGCCCATCAGCAGATGGCTTCTGTTTCTCATCATCCTGCCATGCCCCTAATGATGTACTCATTAAAGATAGATAGCTATTTCTCTGCAGATTTCATTCTGAGCATCAGACCCTAATATCCAAGTACTCGTTTCTGTAGATTTCAGCTGCTTAAATATCACTCAGAGCAATACACATATCTCCAGCCATAAAGGCACTTTCCTACTTCTGACAGCCATTTTCTCTTGCCTGTATTACTGTAATGGTCCATAAGTGGTCTGGTTGCCTTTAGCCTTGGCCCTTCTTCAATCTAATCTTCCTGCTGCAGCCTGTGCAGAGGCATTTTCCTAAAATGCAACACTGATCAAGTCTCTCCATTGCTTAAAAATCTCTCAATGGCTTCCCACTTCCCCTAGAATAAAGGCAAGATTCCTTAATGTAGCAATCAAGGCCCTTTGTGATCTGACCCCTGCGTGCCTCCCCATCCTTATTCATCGCCACTCACCTCTTCTCTGTTCATGGTGCTTTCATTCTACTTTTCTTCCAGTTCCTGGAATGAATACTTGGTCACCCACCTTGAGGTCTTTCCCCCATGCCATCCTGTTTTCCTGGAACACCATTATCCCCTCTCTTTTTTGGAACTAACACTTATCTTTGAGAACCAAGGTGAAATGGTAGATACTCTCCATAGAATCTTTTGCTGATGTCCCAGTTCCGAGATAGGAGCCAATTCTATGTGTTCCCATAACACCTTAGACATCCTCTGTTTGTGGGTACTGCACTTCTTACATGGCAGTAGGCTTCCAAGAAGGCAGGAGGAGGAAGTTTCCGGGCCAGTTAAGAGCTCCACTCAGAACTGACACAGTTGCCCTTTTGCCAGATTCTGTTGGTCAGAGCAGTCACAGCGTCATTGAGATTCCTGAGTATAGAACTAAAATCCCTCTCTTGATGAGAAAGTGGCAAGTTCTCATCCCAGAAGAGCGTTGGGATAGGAGATATTGTCATGGACATCTTTGCAAAATACACTCTGCTATGTCCTGATATATAGTTAGCTTTATTAAGTATGTATGCCTTAAAATCAAATCCTTTTATGACTTAAAGTATAAAGCATTCCCCAAGCTCTTTTTGCTTATGATTCCTTTGGTCTCAGAACCTAGCAATCTCCCCATAATAGAGACAGTGTAAATGTCTAAAGAATGAATACATTTTTTTACTGTTATGTTTATTGATTAAAAGCATAAATAAACAGTGTGGTCTCTATTAATAAGAAATTACTGAACTAAAACCATTATATATCTGCAATATTTAATTAAGCATTTAGACTGCTTTAATATGGATATTGCAATTTTGGCATTCTAATGAGCTTCTAGATATTCTTTGTCTAAAACTAGGTAAACTAGGTAACCAACATAATAGGAATCTTTCTTCTCTTTTCAAACAATAACTATGAAAATGATATAATTAGGCTTATTTGCATATATTGTTTCAAAAAGTATCTGGTACTATTGAGCTTCCTATAGTTGATATTTAGCAAAAATTTCTTGAAAAGTAAAGGTAGTTTTCATGTATGGGATAGGAAATTAATTGATGTTTTATTAATATAGACAAACTGAATATGGTACATTCGGAAAGAAATGACTGTAAAAAGGCAAAGGAAAATTAAATATCTTGTCTATTTACAAACCAGGTAATGGTTAACTGTACAAAGTATTGAAGCTATTCCAGTTTCAGAAAAAAATCTCCAAGGTATACATTTCTCCCCCTTTGTCTTTTGTCTAGTAAATGATATGTGGTGAATTATATAAATATCTGCTTTCATAAATTAATGGCATTGTCCCTGTCTTCTCTTGAACATGTTTATGAAGACATCATTTTTGCAGGAGCCTAGAGTGTTGTGATTTGCAATCATATACTTGTACATTATTTCAGAAGATGCTGAAACCCCTCAGGGAGAAAAATCTAGAGGGTTGAGGTTCATTTGTGGCAAGTCCCACTTGAGTGCAGCATCTTGAAATAGCTTTTTGTTTTCAAATAGAATATATTACATATTTCAAACTGTACATGTTTATCACACATTCCCTGGGCTTGCCTTATTTACAGATGGTTTGAATAAATTTTTCTCTCTTTCCCCAGCATTTGCACAGGGTGATAGTAGTTAAAAGCCAGCCCTTGTTGAACATGAAGATGTTTTTGCTCTACAGAATGTAAATTATCCAAATACAACAATGCTGGCTTCCTTTCATAGTGAAGTTGGCTGTTCACATCCCTTTATTGATGGTCAGAATAGTCCCCTTTGTGCTAGAAAGTCTTACATGTCTTTAAAAAAAGAAGTTTCTTGTGGTATTTTAGATGTACGTGCTGACAAAGTCTGTAAATTGACTTTTAAGTATGGTATTTTATTGCAACCCAAATTAAACAAAGGTTTTCCTCCATATTGAAACAATTATCCATTTTAATCTCTTAAATAACTTCAGCTTTGGCATATTCTTCATATTTCTTCTATTCCCACACACAGATGCATTAGAAAACACCCAGAAATAAAAAAATAGTACATTATATTAAAGAACTGTCTCTGTGTGTATACATACGTATGTATATGTATAAGTTATTACAGTACATATTATGCATATGTATATGTATATTGTGTGTATGTGTGTGTGTGTAATAACAACATTCCTAGAAGAAAAGCTGTGACCTGAGAAATGAAATGTGGGTTTAAAGTCTACATTTGATACCTACTAGCTGTGGGAACTTTGGCAAGGTCCTTAATTTCTCTGTATTTCAGTATCTTCATCTGTGGAATGATAATAAAAGCAGTACCTTGGAAAGCTGTTGGAAGAGTTCACATTGTAAAATATACTTAGTTACAAAGTAGATGCTCAATCAATTAGTTAATTGTAGTATTTTAATAATCATTTATTTTTAATGCTTTCCATTTGTGTTATCAAAATGTGTTTATTGAAGTGTCTCAATTCATTGAATTAAAAAGCACAAAACATTTCTTTGAGCCGCTAGCTTCTCACCCTTAAAGCTCTATTGCTATATTGAACTTCCCTATTCTTCTCTTTAGTAGGTCCCTTTGTTAGATTTTGACCAAATCCTCCATGGTTTGGTTTGTATGCTTTCTTTTAATTTGAGGCTCAATCCTATTAATTTTTTTAATTCTAATTCCAATAGAGTTAACATACCATGTCATATTAGTTTCAGGTGTACAATATAGTGACTCGAAACTTCCATACCTCACCTGGTGCTCATCACAACAAGCACCCTCCTTAATCCCTATCATCCATCCTCCCCCACATCCCTGTTGATAACCATCCATTTGTTCTCTATAGTTAAGAGTCTGTTTTTTGGTTTGAATCTTTTTTTCCCTTTAATTGTTTGTTTTGTCTCTTAAATTTCAGTTCTGTTCATTGTAAAACTATAATCATGCACTTGCGGACAGCCTTTGCAGATTGTACCTGTCTGTGTCTATGGTGGCATGGAGTAAGAGGGCATTCTCTGCTTTTAACCACTTTTGTCCTACTCCCTCTTCTCCTAAATGCTAAGGTATAGCAAACTAGATGAGGATCCAGTCTTCTCCTTGGTTAGCCCCAATGACTATTCTGTCTCGTCTTGCTCTGTGAGTATGATAAGGATGGTGAGGGAGATGGGCTGGAACCAACTTACTGATGAAGGACTCAATTCTGGGCAGTGTCTCTAGGCATCTGTAGTCCTTGAACAATTTAGCCACATCTTCAGGTGGATTACCAGTCGGTGGCATTCATGCTGTATCTTTTCTAGCCTCCTAAATCATGGAGGTGGCCAGATGACGCTAGAACCTGATCTCACTACCATCTAGTGCTTGTGCTCAGGTTGGCACACTTGTGTGGAATCTATCTTCCTTACTTCTCAAAGGCACAGAATTTGAAGAGGTGTTGTGACTTTTCCAAATGACATTCCCCCTTATATCGTCTCTTTAATCTTGCTTAGAGAGTATTGGGACTGTTGAGCAGGTCACTGACTAAGCAATCCTTTAACTAGAAATCACTGTACATCTTCCTTTCTGTCAAGCACTTTCCTAAATTAGGAGTTAATCTCTTGATATTCTCCCCACTTGGGAATAACTTCTTTCCACCAATCTCACTTTACACCAAGGTCAAAACACTATCTTCTCAGTCATCTTATCCTCTCTGTGGGTGATGGTGATGGATGGTAGTAGAAGAACTGCTGTTAGCTGATGTTCTCTGGATCAGTGGAGAGACGACTGAAAGTAGTTATTGCGAACTCTGTGAACTTACACTGTAGAATACCACTCACATTGTCCTCAGCCTTGGTCCTTAATTAATTTCAAGATATCAAGAAAAATATCTTTAAGCATTTTATTTAACAGGTAGGTGGAATAATGGTAAAAGTGATAGGTTTAAAATAGCTAATAAGTTTTGGTGAATAATTCAGGGAACAAAAGTGCTCTTGGCTCCCATAGCCTTTTATTTTAATAGAATAAAATCTAAAGGAAACTGTGTCATATGCTGAATATATGATTGTTCCATCCTATGAAATTCTCTCTATAGTCACCGCAAATGAGTCCATTTGCTTGGAATGGTAGGCATGGAAATGAAATAAAGGGAAAGAAACATGTTTATGGAGCATCTGTTCCGGAACTGATGTCTGTTGTCTTTGGTAATAATATCTATCATTAATATTCAATGAGCTTTAAGACAACTACATAGGCATGTGTTTCCAAAGTATGTATTACTTCTCCTTTTTTAATTGAATATAATCCAAATGATAAAACATAAGGTGACTGTGACTTACAGGTAGCTGAGGATATTTCTGTTAAACTTGAATCGAAAGGAAGCCCAGCTTGGTTAAATTAGCTCCCACAGAAGCAAGAATCAAATCAGTGTACTTGGCCAATTTCTTGGTTAATGTATTTTGTGTGTGTCCTGATAATGAGCTGAGCCAAACCTGTTTCTCCATCTTCCTGCAGACGGCAGCCGGTGAGCCCCCCTCCACCACCACGACCGATTTCCCCACCACATACCTACGGATACATTTCAGGACCTCTTGTCTCAGATATGGATACAGATGCGCCAGAAGAGGAAGAAGATGAAGCGGACATGGAAGTCGCCAAGATGCAGACCAGACGGCTTTTGTTACGTGGCCTTGAGCAGACCCCTGCCTCCAGTGTGGGGGACCTTGAGAGCTCTGTCACTGGGTCCATGATCAATGGCTGGGGCTCAGCCTCAGAGGAGGACAACATTTCCAGTGGACGTTCCAGTGTGAGTTCTTCTGATGGCTCCTTCTTCACCGATGCTGATTTTGCCCAGGCGGTGGCAGCAGCTGCGGAGTATGCTGGTCTGAAAGTCGCACGTCGTCAAATGCAGGATGCTTCTGGTAAGTTCTGCGCTTGTCACCAAGCTGGAAAAGAAGACTTGATGGGTGCGTGTCAGCTGATGATTATCGCCTACGAGCTTGTGTCCAATGTGAAATGCAGCTATTATTACTGTTTTTTATTTGCTGCCTGAGGAAACCAAGATCCAAGCATATGACATAGCTTGGTTATTCCCTTTTTCTGGACAAG